GAAAAATTCTTACATTATGCTACCGAAATCTTTATCATTAGAAATGCTTGTTTTGCATATATATATATATCCTCAAGGCGTGTTTGGATGAAAAGCCTATCGTGTCTAGATAACAATAAACGGATAGTATTATGAGTGGATTTAAGGACTTTGGAGAAATACAAAAGGGTACCTCCAAAAGAGTGGTGAGATTTGGGTTCTCCTCAGATGATGAATATATTTTTGATTGAATAACAGAATGATATACCTTTGCATAATTTAAATTAAAAACATAGGTGAAACATAATAGGGAAATATTTCATAGTAAATTGGCAACACGAATTGGTCACAATTTATAGTGAAGCCTGTCTCGTTTGACAGCCTGAATGCATATATTAACGAATCTGCTATTCTCCTAATACGAAAAGATATATATTCAGCCAAGAATAATTAGAAACTACAGCTTTCAGCCTCCCTCGAGAGAAACAGAAGAGCTTATCACATTCTATAAATTCCTAAAGTGAGATATATCTCAAGCCATTGCTAGTACATCATTCAATCAAGATACTTAGAAAAATGAGCTAATACCAGACGCTCAAAAGCACTTTATCTTATGTTAAATTATTTAGTTTTAGCTTTAAACGAACAAAAACACATCAACTGTAAAGAAAAAAATATTTTTTAATTAATTATAACCTTTTTTCGTTGAGAAGTAGGTTTTCGAGACTACCCCTAAGTTATACTCATGAGGTGTATTCACCCTATGTTGTTACGGAAACAAGGGAATGGTAATAAAATTTTCCTATAACCATATGAGTAATGTAGTCAATTGCAATGGCAAATATAACTTTGCTTCATCGATAATCCCACCACAGAAAGTGATATGAAAAGATGCCTGACCTTCCTTGAAATTCACATCTGCCCTGTGTCCAAACGACACTCGTGGCAGTGTCGCGTATGAGTTATTTTGTCGAGATTATACGCGGCACTGCCAGAAACCGGGTTTGAGTCTCGTTTGAGGTAATAAGAAGACCTAAGCGAGATCGAAACTGCGGTCCACTTTGGTAAGTATGAATATGTGAAATTCAATCGAAATGTAGGTTTACTCATAGCAATGTAGGAAAAGTTACCTATCACTCCTTCATTATCATAACTAAATAGGGTGAATAGATCTCATATATGGTTAGAACTTAGTCATTTAACTTGGAGCTTATAGTTTTACTTTTATAAATGAAAATAAATAAAAATATATATAAGGTAAAAATATATATTTCGTACTCAAACACCCACAGGTTTACACAATCTAGTTTAGTCGCTCGCGAAAGACTCATTTATTTAGGTTTAATTGAAATAAGGGAGCATCATGTGAATCTCATTTCTTCTGTAGACACACAAAACAAGTATCA